CCCCAAAACCCCAAAACCCCAAAACCCCAAAACCCCAGACTTAAAAATTATGCAGGAGAATTTAAATGAGTTAATATAAAATCAAATTTAGTGAGATTATTGATCAAGGGTTAATAGTATCATTATCTGGAATCATCAAATTTAACTGATAGAGTTTTCTTATCTCCCTTATTCGCTGATTGCCCATTGAATGATTGACCAGCAATGCTTAGATTATTTTAATTATCTCTTTAGCTTTCTCTTCCATCTTATGATAACTAATTGTTGTTGAACCCATTATCTTTATCTAAAGTTCCTAGCGTATTTGATTGGATGTGATTTAAAGTGGATCCACTTGGAATGTTAAGATGAGCATATTTAGAATGAATGGAGGAGATATGATTTGATTACCTCAAATGTGAAAATTAGAACTATTCTTAGGTTTTGAATGAAGCAGATTAGCCTTTTATGCTTCCTTGGTATTACCCTCTATTTGGTGAGCCATCATATTTACTAGCTCCAAAATCATTCGGTTAGTAGTTATAATCAAATCTTGTTCGAAGCTTGTCACTTGATACTATCTAATCTCTTTATAATTGAGTTGAAAAAGGATTTAGTGATGCTGTCTGACCCATATGTGTATAACCAAAACTTGATTAAACGTATCCATCTTGATTATTTTAAAAATTTGGTGATTTTGAAGATTCTCCTTGCTTATTTAAGTAAAATTCAGTTAAAGGCATTTTCAAATTCTTGCTAGGCAAGTACAAATTTTAAGCTAAAGGTTCATGAATCTTTCTTAGAGATGTCTCTTCTGCTTAAGCAAAATTTTTGTCAAGAATTTAATAAGTTCCTGATATGACTTAGGGTTTCCCCATGGTGGCATTCACATTTTCAAGATCATCTCTTCTAATTGGAGATAAGAATCCAGTTGAAGATTTCATTATATTTGTTGAAGTAATTCTATTTCTAATAGTTACATCAGTTGTGACATCTTATCCTCTTTGATTTACCATAGTTCTAAATGTAACTTTCTAGGCTTCATTCAAGCTTTTATTTAGATACTCGATCATAGATGAGTTGCTCTTCAGTATGTCTTCGCATTCTTTAAGTTTTTGTTGAAGAAGTTGTATAGTCTCATCCTTTGAGCTAATCTCTTAATTAAGCTTCTCTTATTCTTCCTTTCCTTAATTTATGTTTTGATCTCTAGCGTTGAGAGCTTAATTCAATTCAAGAATTTATTAATCTAGCTTTTTAGCCTCTTTCTTTTTATTCTTATATTTTCCCTTATATTTATGATTCTTTTCATTAAGCTTATTGATCTATTTCTCATTTTTATCTACTTCATTCTCTAAAGACTTAACTTGCTCTTAGATTAAAATTATTTTTTCTTTAAGTGAATCACTTAATTATCTATACTACTCTTGACTGTCTTGTAACTCGATGATCTAAAGCTATTGCTTCTTGTTTTAGTCATTTAATTAATCTATTTACTTAAGACCTTGGTCTTTTAGCAAAGTTTATTCAAGTAAATTCTTATCCAGCTTAGCATTTTACTATCGTAGTTATTCAGCCTAGGTTGATAGTTGGAGATTTTCTCTTTAAGAAGTAGCTAGGTCAGCGGTTAACTACTCACTCCTAAATTTGTATTGAGAACTTATTTCTTGAAGTTAATCTTTCTAAGTAGTCATTTCATATAATTGCTATCTCAATCTATTTATTTCCTCAGTATTTCTTCTTTTCTCAGCCTCTGTCTCTTGCTAGAATTAGTCCATTTGATTATCATACTATTCCTAGAGATTTTGAATTTCTTCGTTTTTATTTGATTCCATTAAATCTACTTGCTCTTTTCCTTCTTTCTCCTTCAATTCTAGCATTCTATCATTATCTTCTTTTAGAGTTTAGAAACTTTTCTACATCTATTGAAGTAGATTCTCATCTTCTTCTACTTTTTCCCTCAGTTCCTCATTTTCTTGCAATAACTCAATATTTGTGTGTTTCTAGATCAGTAGTTTTTTCCCTAGCCATTTTCTGGCTTCTTCATGAGTTGCCTTCTCCATTGTTATTTTGTAGTGTAATAAGTTCCTAAATTGATTGTTCTCAAATATCTCAACTGTTGCCAATTGATCTTGATCCTGCTACTCACTATTTTAAGATGGACTTGTAGTAAATTGGCAAAAAAATCTATTTTCATCCTCTTCATTTTCCTCAGTATTTTACTGCTAAGATTTTTAGAAATAATCCTACTAATGATTAAAGTTTTAACCACAAAAATTGAGAAGCTAAACCATTCTCTCAGGAAGCTAATTGAAATCAATATGAAAATTTTAAGTCTTTCTTAATTGTAAAAATGTTTCAATATCGATTGTGGTGAAGTACAAGAATTAGGGATTTGAATCCTCACTAGCTGTTAAGAATAACACATCATTATGAGCTGCTTATAACGTATTAAAAGAAGTTTAAGACCTTTAACTAGATTTGTTTGACTATTACAATTTCTAGAGTATTTATATCTCAAACCTTAGTATCCTACTGCTGTCCTTTAAATTAGTGTTCTCTTGGCCTTATTATAATAAACTAATTTGAATTATGATATATCTAGGAAAACTTACTGCACAGGTATGTTTTAGGAATATACGATGCTTTGGTTAGAAACTAGTTTATTATAGGCTAGACCTCTATTCATGACTTGACAAGACATACATTGATTGTCTGATTGCAAATTATCATAGTTCTTTCCAGCTAGCATCGACAAGGCTTAGTCTTGCTATTAGACTGAATTTCTGTTTAATTTGCTGCTGTTAGTGTTCTATCTAGCACTTCTTTTCATTTCATTTTACATCTAAGGAATTTGCTGCTGTTAAGTCTTTTATAAAAGTTAATTGTATCTAGAAGGAATCGGAGATTGTCCTTCGATTTCAATATCTTCTTGCTGCTCCTCATCCATTTCTACGTTTTCGTTTGTGTAATCTATTATTGAATTTTAAGGAAAGAATCTTAGGTTAAGCCTACCTGAGTCCATTTTTGTTTTGATTTTTAAAATTATGAATTTTAAAATTTATCAATAACAGTTATAATCTATTGCTGGGGTTTTGGGGTTTTGGGGTTTTGGGG